TAATGGACACTGTTAAAATTTTTGAAGAGCTGACATGTTATCATTTTTATCAACTGATAAAAAAATATTAGAAACTAGAAATCTTCAGACTGTCAGTGGTGCTCATTTCCTGGCAAACACGCTAGACCCTAGATATTTTGGATCTAATCTTTCTGAAAATAAAGCTCTAATGACCTTTCGAGATAAAGAGTTTATGAACTTAGTAACAATAATATTCAAGTTGAAAGTCAAATTTGCTCCATTAGATAAAAGCCATTTGTATAGGAAATCTGTTTTAAAAAATATATTAACATAGAATGATGGAAGTCTCAAAAATATTTGGACTGCAACATCATGGATAATGAAGGTTGTTAGGCGCACAAGCTTCTAGTGCTGGAATTAAAAGCATTTTTTTGACTTTTGGACTTGTTCATTCCAAGTTAAGAAACAAGATGGGAGTAGAAAAAGCGGCAAAGTTTGTTTACAGAACATTAAATAATGATGTATTACTTAATGAATTACAGCAGTAATGTTAATTAAAAATCAAAGTAAAATGACTAATTCTTCTTTTAAATGAAAAAGTTGACTAAAAATGGCTTTTTTATTAAAAAAAAAGGAGTTTAAACCATAAAAACCATGGTTTTTGGTTGTTTTTTTTTTCATATCTTAATTAAACTCTTTTACAGCTTCTGATCCAGACATAATAGTCTTACAACATTGTTCTCCAGACCTCTCTTTAATTCTCACTAAACTATTTAATAAGTGCTTGACTGAGTCTTGTTTCCTGCCTGCTGGAAAATGGCAACTGTTTTTACAATTTTAAAAAAACTCTGGTGAACATTCTGACTCCTCTAATTATTATGTGATTAACCTTCTTTCTGTTAATAGCAAGATCATTAAGCCTTTGATAAACAAATTTCTCACATCCCATCTTGAGTCAAATAAGTTACTGCTAGACAATCAATACAGTTTTTGATTTTCTGCAAACACTACTACTACTAACCTCTCATGGAAACCATATATACAATGAATTGCTAAATTAGCATCTGCTAAGGTTGTTTCTCTTAACTGTGCTCACAATTATCTTACTCCTAATTCCATTCTCTATCTCTACAAATCTCTTATTCATCCCTGTATGAAATACAGTTGTCATATTTGGGCTGGTTCCTCTAATGATGCTATTCCTATTTTAGCAAGGTCCAAAAACGCATTGTAAAAGTAGTTAAACCTGTTTTATCTGTCAAGCTTCCCATTGTCAAAAAGTTGCATCTGTTTTTCTATTCTACAAAAATCACAATCATTGCTCAAAGGAATCAGTTCCATCAACAAAAAATCATTCTCGCTTGACTTAAAATTCAGCAAAGTCTCATCTCTTTACTGTATCTGTTTCTACATGCAAATTTTTTTTTCTAGTTTATTTCTCCGCCCTTCAACTCTTTCATGTTTCCTGACTCATACAACCTTCAACTTTTCAAGTCTTCTGTCAATCATTTTCTTGTTCTATAACTCCAGGGCTCGAATTTATGCAAAAAAGTCTAACTGCGAAAAAAAAAAATTAACTATCCTCTCCCCTTGTCCCTACTTTGTGGTAAGGGGGAGTTGCATTAGTATAAATATGTATATATCTTTTCTACTTTAGTTCATAATTGTTATTTTTTTAACAAAGTATCTTTAATATTATCTAAATATTAGCTAATAATTTTCTCATTTGGTGGAATTTAAAATAGTCTAAGTTTACAACTCAAGTTATAATTTAAAGTTTAAGTTGCAGTTATAGTGTAATGAGCAAGTAATGTATTATCTTATTACAATATTACTACAATACTATTACAATATTATTTTTAGCAATTGTTTTGAAGTAACATGATACTTAAAGTAAAAGTAAAAAAGTAAACCCAGAAAATGTAAAGAGTTTGCGTTAATGTAAAACAACTTTATGATGCTGTTTTATTGCTGTTTTATACAGTTTATAACATTAATAATATAAAATGCATTTAAAATAAAATGAAGTAAATAAATAGAATTGTTATAATTAATAAATTTAAACATTATTGTCGCAAAACTTTAAATAGACCATTCTAGTCTATAATCTATAAACCAAAAGAGTAAGATCAAACCAAAAAAACATTAGATAACACATATTTTTTATTTGTTTCTTGATTTAGCGTACTATTAAAAATTGAAGTATAAATAATTTTTTCCATTTAAATGGTTTTTACATTGTAGTTTTCATACAATTTTTTCATTCTACTTATTTTGCAATAAAAAGTTTGAATAAAAAAAAAAATAATTTATTAAAAATGAAAAATTTAATTTAAAAAAAAAATTATTCTTATTTTTTTTTAAATTTTTTTAAATCTATGGTTTAAATTTTTATGGTTTAAATTTTTTTAAATCTATGGTTTTTTTAAATTTTTTTAAATCTATGGTTTAACATTTGCAATAATCACTGGTTTAATGCTTGTAATAGATTGTTTCTACTTTTAAAACTATTTTTAAGAAAAAAAATATTAACTATTCAAAATGTTTATGATTTAGATAAAAATTTCTTCCTCACTTGCGCTATATAGACTATACGGACGCTGCTGCTACTTTATAATTTATAATTATTGAGCGTTAAAACTCTTTAAATTTTTCCAATTTTTTCAATTTCAAATTTCAATCAAATTTCAAATTTCAAATTCAAATTCAAATTTCAAATTTCAATCGCAAAATTATTTGAATAAGAAAATTTTATAAGATTAAAATTCTTTTATTTAAATAGATTTCTTTTTTAAAAAAATTCCTAAAAACAACTTGCTTATTTATAGAAAATGTTTAATCTTGATATCGCTTTAAATAAAATCAAAATATTATAAAATGGAATCGCATTTTTCATATTCTATTTGAGATTTCTTATTGAAATAATTTTTAGCTAGAAGCTTGTTTAGTGTTAACAATATATAAGATATAAATAGAAACATTTGTATGGCTAACTTTTGTGAGTCTTTGAGTATATTTAGTAAATTTAATAGTTGCATAACTGTGAGTCACTGTAAATGTTTAATTTTCCATTTTTATATTGACAAAACATTGTTTTGTTTACAATTCAACAGGGTTAATAGGTTTAAACCATTCAAAAAAATATCAATTTAAATTTTTTGATAAAATAAACTAATAAATAAATTTTTTGTTGAAAATTTTAAAACCAATTGGAGTTGCTCTAGATAAGTTGCAAAAAGATCAAGCAAAAATAATGAACACTGCTTAAATTTTTAAAGAGCTCTTTGCAAACACTCTAGATCCTAGATATTTTGTGTCTAATCTTTCTGAAAATGAAGCTGCAATGACCTTTGCAGATAAAGAATTTAAGAACTTGCTGCCAATAATAATCAAGTTGAAAGCCAAATCTGCTCTATTCGATAAAAGCTACTTATACAGTAAATCTGTTTTAAAAAATATGTTTTAGAAAAGGATGCATAACCGTTTTCCTAAAGTCTTTATATTTTATTATAAAAAGCAATGAAAGAATAGTCAATAAAAATTGCATTTCTAGGTTAAATATATAAGTATTTTAAACCGTCTAGCTGGACGGTGAAAGAAGTGGCTTTTGAACTTCCTTCTAGAAAAATGTATAATTATGCACATTTGAACAAAAAGCTGTATATCAATACAGGTGATATGTCAATTTTTGCAAAAATAAATAAGAAATTGATCTTGTTGTGATGATATTGGATGATTTAAAAAAGAATAGCATTTTAAAATGACAATTAGAAAAACAAATAAAATGCTTGGTCTAATAAAGCACTGTTATAAGTATCTCATATGAATTCAATGTGACAACTTTTTACATCTCTGGTTTGTTCTCATTTAGAGTATGCAGTTTCAATCTGGAATCTTTCTACAAAAAGGATGTAAAAAATATAAAAAGATTAGTTTAATAATGCACTGTTTTGAATATTTCAATATGAATTCAGACATAATTTAAGTTTATATTCTTGCAAAGAGGTGTTTAAATAATAATTTAAACAGTTCATTACAACCTGTAAAAACAGTAAAAAAATAAAAATAAAAACATTCTGAATTTAAAAAACAACATTCTAGTCTATTAAATTGTGGCTTTGTGGTCTTTTGAAAATTGATAAAATTTAATTAATTTCCTTAATTATTATATTTTTATTCGAAAAATTAAAAACATTTGAGTCTATTGAGTTTTCCAAAACAAAAAAATTTAATTGATAAATTTTAGATTGCCTGACTAAACAAAAATCATCAGTCACTGTAGCAGCAATTCTTACATGTTCTATGTTTCAGTCAATACAGCAGCATTCCTCATATTTTCTACGTATTTGTTAGTTGAAGTAGCAGCACTCTTAGCATGTTCTACCTATTAGTCAGTTGATGTATATAAACAGTAAAAGCAAATATAAAAATGTTTAAAATGTTTTTTATTTTTATAAAAAAAAATTAAAAAACATTCGCGCCTAAGATGTTTTTTGCTGTTTTTTAACAGATAAAATTTAACTAGTTTCCTCAATTAAATTCAATAGTTTTACACTAAGTGTACATAATTTTGTCATTTTTTAAGTATCACAGCACTATGTATTAAATTAAATAGGCCTTTTAGAATGTATAAAAAAATGTAACTTCAAAACCCTATATTTCAATAAAATGTTATTGGTTTCTTCACACAAAAAAATACACTTTTTAATTTATTAGAGGGCAAACCCTCTAATGTCCCTGAATAAGTTCTTTAGAAATATTTATCATATTTTTCTAATACTTTTCTTTTCATACCAAGTTGTGAGCATTTTGATAAGACTTAAAATAGTTATGAAATTTGAATTTAAAAATAAAAACACATAATTTTGTATCAGCTTCTTTAACAAATCCATATCAAAAATTCCTAATTTCAAAACTTTGTTAACTTTAGAATAATGTATTAAAGACTTTTCTAATGGTATCATTCTAGTATTTATTAAATCTAAAGATGTGTGCCACATAAAAAACATCAATAGTTAATCTAAAGGTAAACTTAGTACCTCTTGCATAAACTTTTTAGCATTTGTTAATTTCTCGCCATACAATTGAAAAAATGGGCATTCTTTCCGATCTCTACATGCTGAACATGCGTAATACTTTTGTGATGGCTTGTCTTTAAAAAATCGTTCAAATAACAATGTTGGACCTTGAAAGACAAGATATTATGCATTGCAAATTAGGTGTTTTATTCAAAAGTTATCAGGTAATGTAAAAGAAAATAACGATGTGGAAGAAAACGTATATAAACAATAAAAAATAATTTTTATTTAAAATATCTTAAATTTTAAAACAATAATGAATTGAATAAAATGTGAAAAAGTCAAAGAAATTTTATAATTAAAAACAGAAGTTTACAAATGAAATTTGAAGAATAATCTTTTAATAAAAATATATTTAATAAACCAACCATGGGCACATAAAGGATTAGTATCTAAAGAAGAATCGATTAAATCTACTCCACGATATTCACACGAGAATTCATTGCAAGCGTTTTGAGCTGACATTGTGACTGTCGATTGTTTTATGTTTCTAATGTTCCGTGTAACGGCAAATATTGACAGTACACGGATTTATAGTCTCAGTTCCGTTCCGCAAATTATCTCAAATTGTGAAGAAAAGTACATTTCTAAAATTTGAGAGGATTTTAGAAAAAATTTGAGAAGCAGAATATGACATATTGATATTACTTTTATATAAACTCTTTGATATAAAGTTTTTTAAACGCTAAATATCTTTCCTAGCCAAATTTATTACTTATGTTCTAAATATTTATCTTACTTTACACGATTTTGTGATAATTTACCGAACGAAACTGAGCCTGGGAGCTTATTCACAACTCTTTTGTAAGTCAAAAATTTGCGTAAGTTTTAGCGTAAATTCAAAGTTAAAAAACTTACAATATTCTTAAGTTTTTGCGTAAGTTTTTACTTACGCAAAAAGTCAAAAAAACGGTATTAACAACAAACTTTACGCACGTCTGCTATTGTCTGACACGTTTTTGCGTAACTTTAATTCATCTAATATTAAAAAATGGCGTTTTAATTAATGTAAAAGATTTCAGATTTTGTTTGTTACTGCCATTAAGTTATATACTTATATTGCCAATAAATTATATACTTATATATACTTATATTATACTGCTATAATATAAGTATATATATTGGACTTTGCAATGACATCGCAAATGGTGGACGCTTTTTTCAAACCGTTGAAAATAACTTTTTAAAAGGAAAAAAGTAAAAAAGAAAAGAAAACATTTATAAATTAAACTAAAAATGAAATCAACAAAAAAGAAGAATAAATAAATCTTGTAAAAGAAGAAAAGAAAAAGAAACATCTGAAAGAAAATAAGTAAAAAACTTACGAAAATAGAAGTTAAAAAAAAAACGTTAAATGAATGAAATATAAAAACAATGCCAAAAAATGAAAAAAAAAAAATTTAAAGAGATGAACCTGTAATAAAATATTACATCCGCCTAAAATATCACATCCCCCATAGAAAAAACGAAAACGAGATTGCGCTTTCAAGTCATTGCACTTAGAAGTGTATCAAATACGTCCGAAACATTCAATTATAAAAAATATAATTAAAACGCAACGAGATTCATAAAAACGTTTTTCTACTAATATACTATAAATGAAGTTAGCATAAAATGGTAATATATTTTAAATTCTTATTTATAAAATTTTAATCGTAATGTATTGTGTGACAATAGTATAGAAAAGGATTACACATGAGGGATATAATACTTTAGGTAATAAAAATAACAATCGTTTGCAATATTTTAGAAGCCTGCATAGGGGGGATGTGATATTTTAAGTAAGAATTCCAGTTTCTTTTTGTCACATATACAGAAATAACAAGTGGTGGATGTTATATTCTATATACCAAATACTAATTGTTTAAAATACTTTATAAATTACTTAGGGGGATGTAATACTTTAGAAGTAGACATACGGGGGATGTTATATTTTAAAGTAAGATTTTCAGTTTCTTTTTCTGACATATACAGTGAATAAACCGAGGGGATGTGATATTCTTGATATCAAATACTAATCGTTTAAAATATTGTATGAATTACTTAGGGGGATGTAATATTTTAAAGGTAAACATAGAGGAAAAGTGATATTTTAAGTAAGAATTTCAGTTTCTTTTTGTGGTACATACAGAATTTACAAGTGATAAATCTTATATTTTAAACACTAAATAAAAACCGTTTGAAATGTTGTATGAATTACTTAGGGGGATGTAATATTTTAAAGATAAACATAGGGGGGATGTGATATTTTAAGTAAGATACTAAATACTAATGGTTTGAAATATTGTATGAATTACTTTAGGGGATGTAATATTTTAAAGGTAAACATAGATGGGATATGATATTTTAAGAAAGAATTTAAGTTTCTTTTTGTGGTACATACAGAACTTACTAGTGATGGATGTGATATTCTAGGTACCAAATACCAATCATTTGAATTATTGTATGAGTTATTTAGGGGGATGTAATCTTTTAGAAGTATACTTTAGGGGGGATGTGATATTTTAAGTAAGAATTTCAGTTTCTTTTTGTGACATATACATAGAATCTACAGGGGGATGTGATATTCTAGGTATCAAATACAAATCAATTGAAATATTGTATGAATTACTTAGGGGAATGTAATATTTTAAAAGTATACATAGGGGGATGTGATATTTTAAGTAAGAATTTCAGTTTCTTTTTGTGGTACATACAGAATTTACAAGTGATAAATCTTATATTTTAAACACTAAATAAAAACCGTTTGAAATGTTGTATGAATTACTTAGGGGGATGTAATATTTTAAAGATAAACATAGGGGGGATGTGATATTTTAAATAGCAAATATTAATCGTTTGAAATATTGTATGAATTACTTTGGGGGATGTAATATTTTAAAGGTAAACTTAGACGGGATATAATATTTTCAGTAAGAATTTCAGTTTTTTTTTTGTGACATATGCAGCAAATAAACCGAGGGGATGTAATATTTTAGATACTAAACACTAATCGTTTGAAATATTGTATGAATTACTTAAGGGGATGTAATATTTTAAAGGTAAACATAGACGGGATATGATATTTTAAGTTAGAATTTAAGTTTTTTTTGTGGTACATACAGAACTTACTAGTGATGGATGTGATATTCTAGGTACCAAATACCAATCATTTGAAATATTGTATGAATTATTTAGGGGGATGTATAATTTTAGAAGTATACATTAGGAGGGGATGTGCTATTTCAAGTAAGAATTTTAGTTTTTTTTTGTGACATATACATAGAATCTACAGGGGGATATGATATTCTAGGTATCAAATACAAATCAATTGATATATTGTATGAATTACTTGGGGAATGTAATATTTTAAAAGTATACATAGTGGGGATGTGATATTTTAAGTTCGAATTTCAGTTTTTTTTTGTGGTACATACAGAACTTACAAGTGATGGATGTGATATTCTAGGTACCAATTAGCAATCGTTTGAAATATTGTATGAATTATATAGGGGGATAGAATATTTTAAAGGTAAACATAGAGGGGATGCGATATTTTAAACAGCAAATATTAATTGTTTGAAATATTGTATGAATTACTTAGGGGGATGTAATATTTTATAGGTTAACTTAAAGGGGATGTAATATTTTCAGTAAGAATTTTTAGTTTCTTTTTGCGGTAAATACAGAACTTACAAGTGATGAATGTAATATTGTAGGTACCAAATACTAATTGTTTAAAATGTTTTGTAACTTACTTAGGGGAATTTAATATTTTAAAGGTAAACATAGAGGGGATGCGATGTTTTAAGTTAGAATTCTAGTTTCTTTTAGTGACATATGCAGAGACTCCACAGGGGAGATATGATATTTTAAGTATTAAATATAAATTGCTTGAAATATTGTAGAAAATTACTTAGGGGGATCTATTATTTTAGAAGTATATTTAGGGGGGGGGGGGGGTTGTGATATTTTAAGTAAGAATTTCAGTTTCTTTTTATAGTACAAACATAATTTACAAGTGATGGATGTGATATTCAAGATAGCAATTACTACTCATTTGAAAAATTTTATGAATTACTTAGGGGATGTAATATTTTAAAGATATACATAGGGATGTAATATTGGGGAATAATTAAGAAGCCTGCATAGGCAGATTTGGTATTTTAATTTAGAATTTTAGCTGTTATTTGCAAAATGTGCAGAGATTACCCAATCTTTTTTTGTTTTTTTTTAGATTTAATTGAGCTAACAAATTAAAAATGTATTATTGTTCAATTAATTCATATGTATGGCTTCCGACGAGTTAAAGTATTATAGTAATTCAAGAAGTCACTAGAACTAAGGAAAAAAATTTCACCTTTTTTATCTGTAAGGGCATAAACATTTAAATTGGTTCAATTTTTGACAAAATTTTGAAGAAAAAGAAATGACTGCAATTTTCAAAGTTTCATTTATTATTTAATATATATATTTAATAAATTTGTACATAAATATGTTCACAACAAAATAAAGTTTCATTTCTAAAAACAATGCATCTCATACGGTACCATCGATTTAAATGCATATATCACATTTTACCTAAAAATAAATATTTAATGAACATTTTTCTATTTGAACATTTAAAGTATTTTTTTCTATTTGAAATTTTTATTAAAAATTAATTAAAATATATTTTATTACTCATTTAATTTTTTTTTGATTTTTTCTAGTTTTTGGACCAATTTCACTTCCACAAATGCGACACAAACTATTCTGCTAACTCTTCTGACCTATTGATTTAATTTTTCATCATTTTTTTTTTTGTCTTTTTTATAGATATCATTTAACATTGAAGTAGTATAAACATTTTCAGTTCTCTAAAGAATCTCACAAACCTCCTTTATCTCTCTTTCTGTATGCATTAACTTCTTCATGTGGAAAGACACGCACCAATACTTCTCCATTTGTATAACTTTCAGCAAACTAAATTATGTAAGCTTATATATATATATATATATATATATATATATATATATATATATATATATATATATATATATATATATATATATATATGGGGGATGTGATGTTTTAAGTAATATATATATATATATATATATATATATATATATATATATATCCATTACAGTTAAGACTCTTAAAGTTATCTTAAGGCAGAATACTCCAAATGTTATACCTTCAGCTCGTATGGCATGTGGTAATGTTAATATTTCAAACTTTTCTGAAACACCATATCTTTGTTGTAAGTAACAACTATTGTATAATAGTAAAAAAACTATAAAAGATGTAAATATAAATTTTGACATAGGAATATCTAATAATAATAGTATCATACTTCCATTTCACTTCTTCTTTTTTGATGGAATTTGTCTGTTCTCCCATAGGGTCCATAGAGTGAATTGTTTTATTACCTGGTTCGATTATCTAAAACACAAGTGATTTTCAAAATCAGGTTCAAAGTTAGGTTCCCTGTAAAAAAATAGGTAATCTAACCTTTCACTAAAAGTTAAACTTTTTTTACTTAGAGAAATAAACTTTTTCAAAAAACAATTATACAATTTTACATACTGCAAGCGTCCAATGAAATTTTTCCACCATGTGTGTGTGTGTGTTTTTCCATCATGTGTGTGTGTGTGTGTGTGTGTGTGTGTGTGTGTGTATAAATACTCTATAATTAAATTAATGAATCATTAATTTTTTTAGATAAAAGTTTTTGAATACCTTATGCCGTCTTCGTATTAAATCAGTTTTGATTGGCAATTCATCCAGTGAGAGTAGCCCAGCTGGCTACAGTACTTCGATTCGATTCTTCAAAGCATCAATAAATGGAATGGCATTCAATATATTGTTTTATATTTAGAATTTAAATTTTAGTTAAATAAAGGCAAATTTAAAAAAAAAATGCAAGAAGGGTTTTTTTGTACAAAAATGTTATTATGAAGTACATTAATTAATCATACTTTTATTTTACTGTTTACTAATATTTTGAGATAAATATTAACAAATTCGTCACTGAGACATTCGTTTAAAGTGTCTTGTAACGAATAATCGTATACCTTGCAGCCTCCTAAGACTTTTACAGGGTTTTTAATATGGATACATTTTATTATTCCGTGATCTATTTATGAAATGCAATTTAAGCATAATTTTATCAAAATTTAAGCTTAAGTCTTTTATCTAATAAAATAACGACTATTACATTTATTGAAGATTACATGTTTTAAAGCTCTTCACATATTTTTTCACCAGGTGGGATGTTTAAATTAAATATTTAAATAAGTTTACATAAAAATCTTTATTTCATTCGTGCGCCACTGAATAATACATACCTTCTGTATCATCAACTATGTAGCTTTTTTTTGTATTTACTATCTCTAGAATATTAAAATAAATAAAAACAAATTAAAATAAAACGCTAACAATTATATATGAATAGGTAAGTTTTAATACTTACCTTCACTATCTTAATCTACAATGGTTTTTATTGGCTTCTCTGCCTTCTCTAAAAAACAAGCGATATTTTAAAATAAAATGGTAACATTTATAAATGAAAAAGTAACTTTTTAAATCCTACTTTTACGATCTTTTACTACAAAACTATTTTTTGTATCTGCCACTTCTAAAAAAACAATACATTACAATAAAAGGTAACGCTAACAAAATGTAAAAGTGATTTATTATTATATACCTTCACTGTCTTTAGCTGCAAAGATTTTTATAGTTATCTGCCTCCTCTAGAAAATAAATTATAAATAAAATAAAACGCTAACAATTACAAATGAATAAGTGAGTTTTTAATTCATACCTTCACCTTCATTAACTTCAAAGCTTTTTGTTGGTGTCTCTGCCTTCTCTTGAAAATAAACCATAAAATAAAATAATGATAAAATATATGGTTTAACTATAAATTAAAATAAGAAAACGAATATTTTACCCGAGTATAAATCAAAAAACAATTAAAATTGTTTTCATATTAGTATTACACGTAGAAAGTTAAACAAATATTAGGTTTGAAAAAAAAAATAAAATATTTTATAAATAAAATGAAAACTTTATTGAAGTAACAGGTATACCAGTAACTTCTACAGAGTAACAATATTTAAAAAAAACATTTCTCTTCTCAGCGTTTTTTAAAGACGTTTAAAGACCTGTATTATGCGTAATAAAATTTAGACGCCTTTGAATAGCTAAGGGTTTCTGAGACAAGTGTCTGACAAAGATGTCTTTTAAATTAAAATAAGGAAACATAAACTCTCAACCTCAACTAATATGTTTAAAAATATAACGTAACTTCACTTTGTTTTAGCTCATTCTTTTTCTAGCGCTTATCTCTATTTAAACCTTTTAATTTTCTAAACTGATCAAAACGAGCTTCTTGATTCAAAAAAAGTTATGCCAAATATTGTGCGGCCGTGGCGCAGTGGTTAGATTGTATGCTTTATAAGCAGGAGATCCAGGTTCAAAACGAGCTTTGGACATATTTCGCGTCATGGTAAGGAAGGAGGAGTGAACTTCCTGGTTAAATGCACTTCCGCGGTGCTCTGTGACAAGACGGTTAGGACTTCTTGGGGTACCTAAATAACAAATTTAAAAAAATATATATATATTATAAATAAGGACAATCTCTGTGCAGGTTTTTTTGTTATATTTATTATGGCTACACGTTGGTACTGGACTCGTTGAATAAAAATTTAATCAATCTTTATTATAACAATTAATATAGTCAATTTTGTTACCTAATTCAATCATTTAAACTAAGCCACCACGCTCTCGTCTTTTTTTCAAACTTGTTGAATTCAACGCTATAAATCTGTCATTATAGGGATGATTATTATTTGTTAGTGAAATCTTCTTCGAACAATCATGCACTTTAGCATTTATGCAAAAGTGCATGATTGTTCGAAGCAGAATTTTTTTTTTCAAAATTTTCATTTTTACAAAAATGTTGTGTTAACATTTTATGGAATATATATATATATATATATATATATATATATATATATATATATATATATATATATATATATATATATA